TTTTGTTATTGTGTTGTTGTAGACCGGAGCCAATTAAAGCCCACGACAATACGAGCGTGTGCTGGCAAACTGGATCACGCCCCTCCCCAGCTCGCCACTCCCCCCCAAAACACATCAATAAAAATGAAAGCAGCTGGAGACGTTGTAGCCCCTGACCGGTCCTCGCCATTGCACGCCGATTGGGGCAGATTGTTCTTCAGACTTGAAATGTTCCAAATTCACATCGATTTAACATTCAGATTGAACGCTTTGACATCTAACAGTTGTTAGGATTTGCATTTTGGAACTATTTGGATGTGTGCTCTTTCGCATGTAGGTGGAAGGTGTACTATTTGAATCGATGATCCGACCCGGCAGATCTCGACGTGTTCGAGTAGCTGCCAGATCCCGTCCAAGTGTGGAGCAGACAAACAAAGGGGGCACAAATGATAGGATTGACGTCTTTTTTTTTTTTTTTTTAATCAATGCCCCCCTGCGCCCCGCTTTCACAGTAAATGAGATTTGCATGATAAGCATGTGTCAAACCGACAGGTCAAGACAGAGAAAAGCAACAGATTGTTTCAAGCTAAATTTGGTGAGAGGAAAAAAAAAGTAAGCCCACGGCAATACGAGCGTGTGCTGGCAAACCGGATCACACCCTTCTCCAGTTCGCCACTCCCCCCCAAAACACATCAATAAAAATGAAAGCAACTGGAGACGTCGTAGCCCCTCACCGGTCCTCGCCATTGCACGCCAATTGGGGCAGATTGTTCTTCAGACTTGAAATGTTCCAAATTCACATCGATTTAACATTCAGATTGAACGCTTTGACATCTAACAGTTGTTAGGATTTGCATTTTGGAACTATTTGGATGTGTGCTCTTTCGCATGTAGGTGGAAGGTGTACTATTTGAATCGATGATCCGACCCGGCAGATCTCGACGTGTTCGAGTAGCTGCCAGATCCCGTCCAAGTGTGGAGCAGACAAACAAAGGGGGCACAAATGATAGGATTGACGTCTTTTTTTTTTTTTTTTTAATCAATGCCCCCCTGCGCCCCGCTTTCACAGTAAATGAGATTTGCATGATACGCATGTGTCAAACAGGTCAAGACGGAGAAAAGCAACAGATTGTTTCAAGCTAAATTTGGTGAGAGGAAAAAAAAAGGAACGCAGCACACACACTTGAAAGCCGATGAGTATTGGATCGGAAGGGATATTGAGCCCAACTCCAGTCGTGGAATGACCCACTCCCTAAATCGCTGCTGGCTTTGCGAAAAAGAAATCGTTACAATGGGCTAAAACAATGGAAAAGGGAATAAATGGCCCCCAAAATCAATCTAATCGTGATCATCCTCTCAGTTGGACACAAGATAGAGTTGACCCCGTTGGTTCATTTGCAAGCGTTCTTTCTTGCCGCTCGGTCGCTGAACAAGCCGCACCTTTGAGCAATCAGCCCCCAAGGTTGCTACCTTGGGGGCTGAAAGGGCGAGCAGAGGCCTGGAAGCTGAAACGCAAGAACCCGACTGGTTTGCGAAGCGTTTCTTACAGCCTCCGACCACCAGAGGTCGACATTTGTCACTTTGAAGGTTTTCCCGCAGGTGCGAAAACCCTCCAAATCCTCCCCAATGTCTCTCACACACACACACACACACACACAGGCACACACACACACACACAGGCCCACAGGCTCTCGTCGCCACGCCCCCCAAGAGCCCGCCGGGCGAGACGCCCCGCTCGGGTGGAGGACAGCGAGGACGCGGAGAGCTTTGCCTTCCGAGGCCCGGTCCAGTCGCCAGACATGCGCGCGCGTGTCGCCAAGCGCCCCTGGATGAGATCCACTCCTGGAGGTCCTTCTCCGTTGCAACGAGGGAGGAGTGAGCGCTCGCTGACGCGGCCTTCCCTGGGCTGCGCGAGTGTGGCATTGGACGGCGTCCGGCGGCGGGCGGGTCCCACGCCGCGCCGCCGTCCTCGCATCTCCGTCTCGCCGAGGGCTCTTTGCTCATCTGCTCTCTCACCGCCTGGACGATGGCGACGATATCCGCAATGGCGTGCCATCTACCTATCTGTCATTCGACACTGTTTTATCAATGACCATGTCATTAAATTCATTCGAAATACCTTTCTGGTCGATTGTTTGTGTCTTTTCAGAGAAAATAACCAAGCATTCATTGCTTTTCTTCAAAACAGGGATTTTCTGAAGTGATGCCATATAAATCCAAAAATACAAATTACTGAAATGTGTGAGGAGAAAACCTCCAACCGGCGAAAAAAATCAAAGAAAGGTTTTTCCAGGATTTATTCCCCTCCAAAGACATAACAAACAAACACACTGCCCAGTGGGCGATTCATGGCAAAAAGAGAGAATCTCATCCGGCAGAAATCTTTTCAAGGCTTTGACATTGATGGCGTACCAAATGGTCCCAATATCTCGCCTGACTCGGTTTTCACAGTGGATACTGAGTGGAACCAAACAATATGGACCTCCGGTTCCAGGTAAAAAAATATCTTTTGGGGATCCTTCACATTAATACCCAGATCTTTTTTTTTCAAGGCATTGCGATTGTACACTGTCATTTGAATGCTTCATATAATTCATTGCAAAATTAGTCCAATGTTGACGTTGCACTGGCTTCTTTGGCCTCTTTGGCCATCACAATAATTCGGCAACGGGGCGTTTGCATCGCGGCCCTTGTTGTCCCGAGCGGCAGCAGGCTCACCTCCATTGGCTGCCCGTCTGAGTTGAAGTCTGTCATCACCGGCGTGCGGCGCCGGGTCACGTTTTCTTTTGATCTCATCGCTACATCTTGTTTTGGTCGGTGTCACTCTGTTGACAAAAATCTTTGGATCCCAAGTGTGGGGGAGAAGTGTGACAGCAACAAAAAGCATTAGCCGCCCCCCAAACCTCCAAAATGCATTCGCACTGTCTCACGTTACTGGGGCAAATCAAAAATCGCTTTAAAATGGGAAACCGCCTTGGTCCTTTTCCGATGTGGGAAAAGAAGCATCCTTTTCATCTCTCCTTAACCCCGTGACCTTTTTCGCCAAAAGGCAAAAGAGGGATGGCGGAAAGGTGAGCGACGTGGACTTTCTCGACACAGCCTCGGATTCTTCCACAGCTTCACTGACCGCCGCCCTTCTGGCCAGTGCACTTATGCCGACTCAGGAGATACCTCCGAAAGAATTTTTGATCGCACACGCCGCAACCGAATGGTTTCTCTCCGGTGTGCGTCTTGGTGTGCCTTGTCAAGTTTGAGTTCTGGGAGAATTGCTTCCCACAAATTGAGCAGGCAAATGGTTTTTCTCCCGTGTGCGTTCTCGCGTGCGCAAGTAGAGCTGTCTGGAAAATGAAACGTTTGCCACACACAGAGCACGCGCAAGGTCTTTCACCGGTGTGCGTTCTTATGTGCGCTAATAGCTGCGAGTTCCGAGCAAAGGTTTTACCACAAACTGAGCACGCGCAAGGTTTTTCTCCAGTGTGTCTTCGAGTGTGTATTGTTAGATCTTCGTTCCGAAAGAATCGCTTGTCACATAGTGAGCATGCAAAAGGTTTTTCTCCCGTGTGTGTTCTGACGTGTGCTCTCAAGGCGCCTTTCTGAATGAAGGTTTTACCACAGAGCGAGCAGGCAAAAGGTTTTTCACCAGTGTGCGTTCGGAAGTGTGTCGCGAACTGTGCTTTGAGCAAGAATCTCTTACCGCACACTGAGCAGAGGAACGGTTTTTCGCCAGTGTGTCGTCTCGCGTGTCTTGTCAAATCGCCCTTCTCGTTGAATCTTTTGTCACACACGGAACAGGCAAAAGGTTTTTCTCCAGTGTGCGTTCTGGTGTGTTTGGTCAAATCTCTCCTGCGATTGAAGCGCTTGTCACAGAGCGAGCAAGCAAAAGGTTTCCCTCCACCCTGCGCACAAGTGTGCTTGCCTAAGCCTGCCTTCCGAGCGAATCTTTTACCGCAGTCTGAGCACGCAAAAGGTTTCTCTCCAGTGTGTGTTCTTCTGTGTCCGACCAAGTCTCCATTTTGAAAGACTCGCTTCGCGCAGTCTGAGCAGGAAAAGGGCTGATCGCCATCATGTTGCCTTCTTGTGTGCCGCGTGCCACTATGATGGAATGTTTGACCGCACACTGAGCAGGCAAAAGGATTTTCTCCAGTATGTGTTCCGAGATGTACTCTCAACACCGACTTGCTGTCAAAGTTTTTATCACAGAGAGAACATTTGACTCGTTTGTTGTCCGTCGGGCATCTCATGTTCGAGTGTCTATCACGATCATCGTCATAGTCGGAAGAGTGCGAGGTTGCATTGTCACCATCTGAAAGTGGAGCCAAGAGGCCGTCCGATTGCGGTGCTCCACTGTGCCCTCCGTCCTCGTCTTCGCTCTTGACAGCGACTCCAGCCGATGGAAACTCGTCCTCCTGCTCTTCCTTTTTAATGTGTGGGGGCTGCAGCTCGGCTTCCTTTTTGATGTGAGAGAATTCTGGCTCCTGCCGCTCGGGCCCCAGATCTTCATTGACGTCTGCAGAAAAAAAAAGGAAGGGGGTCTCACGACATGGCTCGATCGAGTCTCGTGTCGCGGCGCAATATGCCGCCATGCACGGACGATGCGATTCATCGGCAGATCGCGCCGACGCTTGGTGATTGATCGACAAGCGAAAAAATAATTTGTGGCAGCCCTACCGCGAATAGGTTTTGCGATCCATAAGAATACATTTTGGTTGTGGGTTGTCAACACTTCCGGATGGATTTTGAAATGTGGCTCCATTTTAAATGATTTCCGGATCACAACACACTTTCGAGATGCCACATACGGCAAAAAGATCCACCCTGACCCGGAATCTGTCATATAGACACCAGAGATTTGAGATTGCTCTTGTGATTTGCAACAAGACAATCAGTTCAAGTTAATACTTGCCAAAGGGGAACACATTTGCAATTGTGTTTGTTTAAAATGGATTCGCTTCTTCCCGTTTCTTCGCGTTTTCGCTCGACAAGACGCTGTTGGTTCGCGAAAGCCCCAAATCTTGTTCCGAAAACAAAAGTGGATCGTAAAGAGGTCAACAAACCGGCGCTGCGTAACGCGACTCGAGGCTCCGACTTGCAAAGTCGCTGAAGTTGAGGCCGCTTCTCCTCTTTGGTCCCCCAAAGGTCCTCCTCGGGCTCCTCCTCTTTCACGCGTCTCGCGCACATTTCCACGCGTCGGTCGCGACGCTTTCCAGTCGCACCCGATCTCTTTCTTCCCGAGGAAGCTAAACTCAGCTCAGCTCGTTCGAGACGCTTCAACGTGCGCCGAGACGACTTTATCGGGACGCGAAAATGACACTACGGGCGCTTTAGTGCAGTGAAGTAGAGAGGACGTCGTGTGTCGACGCGTCCAGACGCCCAGGCAATCAATCCCAAAAAAAAATGATTTGATCAAAGTCGCTCGGTCGCTTAGGCCCGAAACGAAGGGGCTTCCCGCTGCAACAGGAGCGGTACGGCAACGCCACTTGGACAAAAGTCTCCTTGTTGGTTTCCCCTCGCCGCCACCGCTGCATTGGTCCACATTCCGTAAATCGTTTGTTGGAGTCCATTAGGAGTACAATTACAGTTTTTTTTTTTTTTTTAAGACTGCTTGCTGACTTGACAGGTGGGCAGGAAACCATCTCGAGGAGGCCGCGGGGGGTCGCTGTCGCGTGGAAGCTTGTCGCGGTTTCAGCGGAAGTGACGTGTATCTGCCGCGACTGATGTCGCTGTAGCAAAACGCGCGAGCTCTTTCGGCGCAAGCGCTTTTCTAAACCCAAAAGTGCAACGAACGAATCGGCGCCGAACAGACTGAAGCCTCGACCTTTTTTTTTCTGGACCAAAGCGTCGTCCAGGAAAATTTCAGGTCAAACTCGCCTCGGCGTATTTCGAAGCTTCTCAAATAAGCTTGGCATAGTTTAGCCGGCAAGCCGCTAACGCAGCGCCGCCTCGCTCGGCGTGAGTTTCAAGCGTTGCCTTTATCGCGGCGAAATGTGTGCAAAAAGCGTGAAAGAGGAAGAGTACGAGGAGGAGGTTTGTGGAATTAAAGAGGAGAAGGAGCCGCAGCTCCTGGACGCTCAGGCCGCGCTCCGGGCAGCAGGTTTGTTGACTCCGTCACGCTCGTTTGTTTGACGGCGTCTCATCGAAGCACTTGTGACGCTGAAACTCGGAACCGCTGCGTCCGAATTCTTGAGTGCCCGATTCCGGGGTGCGGAGGTCCGGCGGGCTAAATGGAGGGCACCGCGCTTGGCATCGGAGTGAGCGTCGATGTTGGAAAGTCCGATCCGTTCCCCTCTTTGGCCTCCTTCCCTTCACCTTTCTCGGATTCCGTCACCGGGTGATGGGAGAGGTGAAAAGGGGCCTCCTGTGAGACGCGGGTAAAGGTTTCCGAATTGATTTGGACTCCGCTTTTCCGAACTGACGTCCTCGTGCAACGGCGAGTATTGTTGACGCGAGTTTCCAACTTGTGGACTTGACCTGCAAAACATTCGCCTGACCTGAGAGTCAAGTGAAAAAGATCCAGATACTCATCGGTGTTTTGTGAAGGACCGCTGGTGATTTTTTTCATCCAGTCATTTTGGAATTGCCCGTTCTCTAATAATTCACCGAAAGGTGTTTCCAATTGGATTTTGGTTTGTGCCTTGAACGGACATTTCTCGGGCTCACCATTGGCTCAAGGCGAACGCTCGTTTCAAGAAGTCTGCGAGAAGCACTTCGGAATGACCTTTTAAACCACTGGTGTCGAACTCAAGGCCCGCGGGCCAGATCTGGCCCCACCACAACATTTTACGTGGCCCGCGAAAGCAAATCAAGCATGTCAAGTTCCACGATGCTTGCTAAAGTCTGAACCAAAATTTCAAATTGTCATGTGTAAATCCACAAGAACAGTCGTTATTCTTGAGTTCTGATTGTAAAACTAGGTATTGATCAGTTTGTTGTGCGCTGTGTATGTGATATATGGAGGCGATTAAACATTGATATGGTTTCCCAAAATTCACAAAGGCCCTCCAAGGGAAACTGGAACAACAATGTGGCCCGCGACAAAAACGAGTTTGACACCCCTGTTTGAAATGTTCTCTTCTCTGAGCGCCAGGTAAACATTCCTCAGTCTCATGCTGCCAGAAGCGTCGCGAACGACATCAAAGCAGAGACCATCAGAAGGGAGGGGCAAAACGATTGCAAAATGTCTTCCCGATTTCCGGAGGGCACATTTCACCGAATCCTCCGGATGGTCGATGCAAACCTCAAAGTTGGTTCTTTTCGGATCGGGGTTTTCAAAAGTTGTCAGCGACAGTGGCACCGTAAAACGGCCGCCCTCGACGCATTGCGAGCAGGAACACAACACGGCGCTAAAGCGAGACGCCACGCAAATGCTTCGTTCGTGCTTTGGAATTGCAAACGGGGAGCGCAAAGGCATTCAAAGTACATCCGTACGCCGATTGTTCATTCACAATAAACGGTCGGAGGATCTTCATTTGTCAGGGCGGCTCACGCGATATGCCACGAGGAGACAAGCGGCGAGCCGGCTGTCCCAACCGGCAAACGGAACCGGGGAACGACTACCCGGCGCCGCGTGACGTGCGGGACACTCGCACATCGCGGACGGGGTCTTAGCGCGCACAAGCGGACGAGGCCCTCCGTTGCCACTCGAGCGCCGCGTCCGATCGCGCGACGTAAGCGCTCGGTTTGCCCGACGCGTGCGCTCGTCCCCATCGTGAGGCGTGAGCGGTCGGCGCCACAAAATTCCATCGCCTCGTCGCTCGCCGTCGGTGGCCCGTCGTCATTGTGTGCCTTGTTTCTGTTGACCTGTTGAGAACTTCACGAGGTTTGTTTGATCGCCACGGAGCAAGACAGGAAGAGAGCGCGTTCTTCTGACATGTGGGAGCACTTCAGCCTCATCACTCCTGACAAGGTACGCGCGCGTGCCGTCGACTCATTTGCAAGCGCACTCAGAACGAGAAGCGACCGGACGGACGAGTGGCGCCGTTCGTCCGCCCGACTGTGGGCTGCGCTTGACTTTTGGTTTGCAAACGTCTTTGTGTCCAGGTCCAGTGCTTGGCGTGTTCGGCGGAACTCAAGTATCACGGCAACACGTCCTCCATGGTGCGGCACTTCGCGGCCAAGCACGGCCCCGCTCTCAAACAGAGCAACGCCAGTGAGTGCCCTTCCCCCGATTTCGCCCGCGGCGCACGGGGGCTCGCAATCCGCAACTCCGCCGACAGGGGGGGGGCGGGGCGAGCCAATTTTGCCGTCCCGTCATTCGTCCTTCGCCGGCGGCCGCGCCACCTCGTCCGTCACCGTTTTTTTTGGGGAACCGCGCTTCCGTCTTGGCCAAATTACAGCCGGTCCCCGCCAGTGAGAAGAAGTCGAGCAATGTGTCGTTTCCCAGCGGCCGCTTCGTCAACGTGCTTTGAAGCGCGACTTGCGCGTTCGGTGACGCCGTCTTTGCGGTCGGCGGGGGGAGGTACTCGTCCACTCTTTTTGTGTTCTAACACATCGAAACCTATTTGCAAAGTACGAATCGTACGTGTTGATGAAAGGAAGGCGAACATTTTTCCCCGGACTGCCACGGGGTCTAAAAACGCCAAGCGAGCAACGCTTCTTCGTGCGCTTTTCAAACGTAGCGGTATAATGTAGGCCGAATGCGAACAACCTCGGTTGCTACTTGCGCACGCACGGCGGGGCAGTACCCCGGGGCAGTGTGGGAACAGACGCTCGCTTTTGGGCGTCGAGCCTGCGTTTTCTCCAAAGTTTGGGAGGTAAAAATGAAGAAAAAGGAGCACGCTTCGGGGAATCGGAACCAAGACCGCCAGAGCGAGCGAAGCTCAGCCGGTTCAGCTGCGCCGCCGCCGCCGCCGGCCTCGCTCCCTTTGGCTTTTCTGTCTCGACGTAGTGGGCCGGAAGCAAGCGCTGGACGAAGCGCTGGTGAATCTGGTGGTGAAAGACTGGCAACCGTTTTCCATCGTGGACGATTGCGGCTTCAAGGCGTTGGTGGCCTCGCTGGATCCCACCTACGCTCTTCCGTCCAGGCGGGCCCTGAAGAAGATGGTGGCGGAGAAATCCGAGGAGGAGAAGAGCAAGGCCAAGGCCGCCGTGGGCGGCGCCGAGGCGGTCAGCCTGACCGCCGAGACGTGGAGCTCCATTCAGACGGACGCCCGCGTGGCGGTGACCTGCCACTTCCTGGACGACTCCATGAAAGTGGCCACGGCGCTGCTGGGCGTGCTGCCGCTGCCCGAAGCGCACACGTCCAGTCACATCAGCGAGCGCTTGACCTCGCTCGTGGAGGAATGGGGCATCGAGGGCAAAGTGACGTCGGTGGTGACCGACGCGGCGCCCGAGATGGCGGCCTCCGTTCGCGACCTCAATCTCAGACACGTGCTCTGCTTTGCCCGCTCGCTTCATCTGGTGGTCAAGAAGTCGCTGGACGCCACGGCGGGCCTGCGGGAGCTGCGCGGCAGGGCGCGCAACCTGGTGGCCCTGTTCAAGAGCAGCGCCGCCGCTCAAGAGAAGCTGCGGCAGGCGCAGGCGCAGATGTGTCGCCCCGCGGCCCCGCTGGTCCAGGAGGCGGAGGCGCGCTGGACCAGCACCTTCCTCATGCTCCAGCGCCTGTGCCAGGAGCGCCGCTGCCTGGACGCGGCGCTGGCGGCGCTGGGGACGGACGCGGCGGCGCCCCTGTCCCCGCAGGACGACGAGACGGCCGCCGCCTGCCTGCGCCTGCTGGCGCCCTTCTACCAGGCCGCCGTGGAGATGTCGCAGGAGAAGAGGCTGGCGGGCTCCAAGGTCATCCCCATCACCAAAATGCTTCTGCTGCACTTGTACGAGACCAACGGCAAAACCACGCACCCCACGGCCAAGCGACTGGGCCACAACTTGGTGTCGGCCATGCAGGAGACGTTCGACACGCTGGAAAGCCAAACGGCGCTGACCCTTTCCACGCTGCTGGACCCCAGATTCAAAACCTTCGGCTTCTACAATCAAGCGCAGGCGCAGACCTCGGTCAAGCGGCTGGCCGCCCAGTGCTCGCAGCTGATCGTGTACACGCCGCCCGGCACGCCCGCCGAAGAGCGGGCCTCCGCCTGGGCGCAGCCAGGGCGCCGGCCTCTGCGCGCTCACCACTTCTGTCCCTTTTTTTGCGCTTCAGGTATCGACCTTTGGAAAAGTCTGGACCGAGACGCTTCGGAAGCCATGAGGTGGTCCAGGAACGCCTCGGTGGACGCCACGGCGGAAGTGCAGCGCTACATGAGCGATCCGCCTCTGGGGAGGGCCGAGGACCCGCTGGCTTACTGGCTCAGCCATCAAAACGTTTACCCGCATCTCTTCCGGTTGGCCAAACATTTTCTCTGCACGCCCGCGTCCGCCGTTCCTTGCGAGCGAGTCTTTTCCAAATGCGGGGAAGAGGTGAGCAAAAAGAGGAATCGACTCAGTCCCAAAAGTGTCGAAATGATCATGTACCTCAATAAAAGTCTTTGAGCGCGACGCAAACGCGCTCGAGCCGGGACCCCTTGTTTTTTTTTCCCCTTCCCATGAGATCGCAACGTATCCGTCCAAACAACGCGGACACTCGGCGGATCTCTGGAACGCCGGCCGTCACGACGCCGGCGTTTTTGCCGCGGTCCATCGACGACAAAGGCTGTCGCAAAAGAGAGGAAAGACGATTTCGATGTCGACAAAAAGAAGTGCTGACGCGAGGTCACAGCGACCTCTACGATTGGATGGCATGCAAATCGTTTGTAGAGTTTGTCGACGTGTGAAATGGCGACCCCCGCTGGCGGTTTTTGTCAATGCCGCACATTATTTTGAGCGTGTTCTCAAGCGGTATTTTTGGGGACGTCCTGAGCGTGAAACTCAAGCGCGTTGGCGTCGTCCGCATCAGCTACGGCGGTGCCCCGTTGCTGCCGCAAAGAATCGCGGCTAATCGGGTCGCTCAGGAGTATCCTTTGCTCAGGGGGGCTTCCGGCTTGCTTCCGGGCACTTTTGTAGAATCGGAGCCTTCCTCGCCTCCAGGGACTTGCGGCTCTTCTCCCTCAGATTTGCTAGCGGAGGACATTTCCTGGCAAAAACGAGAATCCTAAGAGGCCCGTCCGTCCTTTGAAATCCGCTGCACTTTGAGGTCAGTGTTACCGAAGCAGCCCTTGCCGAACCCATTTGTGGTTCGGAGCTTCACAAAAGCTTCATTTGGCCAGCGCTGTCGACGCTGTCCTCTTTTGCCAGTCACGCGCCGGCGCTCACCACCAATTCATCCGCACGATCGATGACAGCAATCACGTCAGCAGCCCTTCGATGGCTTCGACCAGTTGCTGACTTGAGGAGAAAAAAAAATGGTCCGCAGGCGTCAGCGTGGCGCTCACTCGCAGCAAGTTTCCGTACTTGAATCAAGAGGCTGTCATGCCCTTTTTTCCTCAGGGTCAAGACGTGTCACGTCAGTCGGAAGCACCCGAATGATTTCCATTTGCTAAATGTCCCCAAAATGCCAGCATTTTTCGCAGGCGCGTTTTCTACCAAGTGAAACGTTACTGTTTGAGGAAAAGCCAAATGATGAGGCCGCGTCTTTGGAAGCGTCCGATTCCTTCCCCCTCTGATTCGTTGTTGACATCTGATTGCTTCAGAGACGCACCTCCAACTACTGATGGTCAGATGAAGCTTTTGACAAGCACCCAACCACTTGGCCGAATTGCTTCAAGAATGACGCGCCCTCTCCTGGCGAAAAGCAAGACTGCAGTTGATTTCAAGCATCTGCTACGAAATCTTTGAGACACACACACACAAAAACTGAATGTCAAATACAAACTCAAGACTTTTTGGGCTCAGAACATTTGGAAAATAATCGCTGACACGGAACAGGTGATGCTGGAGTGCACCAACATAGAGGAGAGGAGGCCGGAGAAGCGCTTCAGAGCGCTGGAAAACAAAGAAAATTCCGCCGCGCTCCAACCGCGTGATCGTCCCACCGGAGCCGGAACCAGTCGGGGACTTCATCGGGGCATTGACGCAGCCGCTGCTTCATACGTCACCTGCTACGCGGGAGGCAAGTGGAAAAACGTTTTTTGTTTTTTTTTTGCTGGGAATGATGATTGGCATTTCAGTTCACTTCAATGCGCAAGATTGGGTTGACATCCCAGCAATGAGAGTTCCAACCTTGGTCAACTTGTAAATCAAGGCGTCAGTTTCCCGATCGTCCGAGCGAGCACCGAAGTCACGGCAAGAGATTTGACTTGTTTTGTCTTCTTGGGTCCCGCAGAAGTCGGCGAAGATTTGAGGCCTGAGCGACGGGAACCACGGCGGTTCAGCACGAAGAAGAGGAGGGTCGCCATTGACCGTTGTCCCTTTCATGAGTGAAGAAGACGAGGAAAAAGCTGCAGGTGAGGAGAGCCGAGCGCCAGCTCAAGTCACCCTGTGGCAGCAGAGAGAGAGACTGTACACGCGTTACTCCAATCGAGACTCTGAATGTTGTTTTCCATGTTTAATGAAGCAAAAAGGATGAAATTAAGAATACAACCAACTTGATGACAACCACATGTTTGTACTCCCGCCCCCCCCCCAAAAAAAAACGAAATGAAAAATTTCACCTCATGAGTTGGCAAGGCATTGAGCAAAACACAGCAGGTATGCCGGAGAAACGCAGAAGGCGGGTTGAGAAGGTTCCAATGGTCAAGGTGAGCTCGTGGAGGCAAAGAGCAGATCAATATTTCACCACGTTTGCCGACTCAAGAAGCGGCGCGGCTGACTCAAGTCGGAGCCTCGTCGGTTTCCTCAAGAGAATGCCGCAACCTCACAGTGGGCCACTAGAGGGCACTTCGAGGCTCTTCCCATTCCAATCAAAGACGAGTGACACCAGGTGCTTTTGAGCATTGTGCTGTCGACAGTGGATGGCAGTGATGAAACCTTTGACCTCGTCCTAACACGGCTTCCGTTTCTTGCGTTTCTTGCGTTTCAGTGAGCGCCGCTCTTGTCAGCGGCACGCGCGTGTGTCTTCGGGCCGATCGTCTCCGCGGAATCTTTAGGCGTTAGGTGAGCGTCCGCTCTTGGCCGTGCGTTCTGGCGTGTCTCCTTAAATGACCGTTCTCCGTGAAGCCTTTGCCACAAAGCGAGCACACGAACGGTTTCTCGCCCGTGTGCGTCCGCGCGTGCCTCGTCAAATGTCCGCTCTCGTTGAATCTTTTCCCGCACACGGAACAGGCAAAAGGCTTCTCCCCGGTGTGCGTCCGCGCGTGTTTCGTCAATTCGGCCCTCTGAGAGAATTTTTTGCCACAAACCGCGCACGCAAACGGCTGCTCTCCGGTGTGTTTTCGGGTGTGTATTTTTAACAGTCCCTTCTCGCTGAACGTTTTGCCACAAAACAAGCAGGTGAAGGGCTTCTCCCCATCGTGCCTTCTCACGTGGCTCGTTAAATTTCCGTTGGTGGAGAACCTTTGCCCGCAAATGGAGCAGGCAAAGGGTTTCTCGCCGGTGTGCGTTCTCGCGTGCGCTTTCAACGTTGTCTTTCGGTTGAAGGTTTTCCGACAAATGGAGCAAGCAAAAGGCTTCTCCCCGGTGTGCGTTCGTGCGTGTCTCGTCAAACGGGCTTTCTCTGAGAATCTTTGGCCGCACACTGAGCAGGCAAAAGGTTTTTCCCCCGTGTGCGTTCTCGCGTGTCTCGTCAGGCGGGCCTTCTCGGAGAATCTTTGACCGCAAACTGAGCAAGCGCAAGGTTTTTCTCCGCTGTGCGTTCTCGCGTGTTTTGTCAAGCCTTCCTTCAGGGTGAATCTTTTCCCACAAACCGAGCAAACAAACAGTTTCTCCTCCGCGTGCGTTCTCGTGTGTTTCGTTAAGTCTCCCTTGTGACCGAATCGTTTCCCGCACACCGAGCAGACAAAAGGTTTTTCGTCCGTGTGTGTTTGCGTGTGCCTCGTTAAGAGCGAATTCAGGGTGAAGCTTTTGCCGCAAACCGAGCAGGCAAACGGTTTGTCGCCGGTGTGGGTTCCCGTGTGTATTTTCAAATGTGTCTTTTCGGAGAATCTTTTGCCGCAAACTGAGCAGGTGAAAGGTTTCTCTCCATTATGTCTTTTGGTGTGCCTCGTTAAATGTTCTTTTCGAGAGAATCTTTGATCACACACTGAGCAGGCAAAGGGTTTCTCTCCGGTGTGCGTTGTGGTGTGCGCTGTCAAATGGGCCTTGAGTGAGAATCTTTTGTCACAAAGGGAACAGGCAAAGGGTTTTTCTCCAGTGTGTGTTCTCAAGTGTCTCTTCAACCTGGACTTGTAGACAAAGGTTTTGTCACAGTGAGCACATTTCACCCGTTTGTTGCCAGCGTGGTTCGCCACGTCTCCTTTGTTGCGCTCATCATCATCCTCCTCCTCCTCGTCATGACCAGAAGATTGTGACGTGACGTCGTCGCTTTCTGAGAGTGGGGGCACCAGACCGTTGGCCTGTGATCGTCCACAGTGTTCTCCCTCACTTTCGGCCTTCACGTTGACGTCAGTCAACTGAAAAGCTGCGATTTCATCCTCTTGCTCTTCCTCTTTAACGTGGCGAGGCTGTGGCTCCTCCTCCTCCTCCTCCAGTTTGATGTGCAGGCAACGCAGCTCCTGCTGCTGAGGACGAAGAACTCCTTCAGCGACGTCTGCAGGACACAATGCACACAAAGACGCAGTTGGCAACTGTGACTTTGACCTTGTGTCTCATTGTGTATTTTGGGGCCATTTTTGTGTGTGCGTGTGTGTGTTTTAAGTCTCAAGAGCGGAAACTTTTGTGAACCGGTTGGAGGGAAAGCTTCATGTGTTGATGACTAAGATAACAGTACTACTAATACAATAATAAGGCAAGAGTTGAAGGTGGACCAACCTGCTGCATGGACCACAACTGGATGTTGCTTGAAAGCTCGCCGATCTTCCTCCTCTTTTCTTGCGCAAACTTCCTCCTCGCACCGCGTCGTGCCTCTTGAACACATTTTCAGACAACTGTGCCAACACTTCACGCGCACCCGATCGTTCCTTCGCGATGTGTTGCCAACAAACGCCTTCCTTGGTTCACCGGCCACGAAGCTGTCGAGCTATCCATAAACTAAGCGAAGCTAAAGTAGGCTAAGCTAAGCTAGGCCTAGCTATCAAGAGAAGCTCCGACTTGCACCGAGACCAGATGATCCCGCACTCGGAAATGTCAGGAATGATTTCGAAGTCCAGCCAAATTCTGGACGTCCTGTGTCGGCGTTTTAGTCCGCCGGTGACGAATTCGGACACTAGAATGAAGCGACCAGCATTGAGCCACAAGAATGGGGACGCGCGGGGGCGGGGCCTGATTCGGAAGCGGAAGTTGATCAGCGGCGGAAGTTGAACCTCATCTCGGGCCTGCGTTTGTCCACCCTGTGGCATGAATGAAGAGAATCTCCCACGCTACCCATCTCGCGTGGATTCGCCTTAGCGATCAAAAGTCTCGCCGAATGAATATGAATTGACTGTGCACGGACGACTTTCAAGTGTTTTTGACGGTTTGGTTCAATGACCGCGTGCTGCTACACCCCCGTGCATGGCGTCGTAATGCGCTGCTCCGTGTCACGTGACGAAAACACGCCAGCTTTCACGGCAATCTCGGACGCTCTTTTTGACTCATTGAAAAATCGCTCAAATACAGTCAAAAGAAAACGTTTAGTGGACATAAACGCACACACATAAAGCGGTATTCTGAAGCCCCGATTATCAACAACCTAAAACCCTTTTGAGTTCATTTCATCGCATTAATTTGTGACATTTATGCAAGACTGCTCAGTCTGCCTGATGCTTTTGTGCAACAATCTTGCTTATATTCGCAGCCGATCAGAAAGGGGAAAAAAAAAGTCCACATGTGCCATATTAGAATTGCCATACCACCATTTTAAGAGGCACTTAAATACATTCAGCAGTTCTTGTAGGCTTTCACTGCCTTTTTTTTTTTTGCTTTCCAACACAGCTTGCCGGTTTTGTGCTAAGACTGCCCGCCATGTTGAACGGTCTATAACTCCCTACACCTTGACGAGAACCTCAGGTACAGCTGAAGACAAGGCAAGGAAGGCTGCTTTATTTCTGCGGGCGTATTCCAGAAAAAAAAAATAAAATCATGAAAACATTTACAATCAACAAACTAAAGCCATTAAAAACAATGTACAGAAATAAAAGATGGCTTACGAAAAACCACACAAAGAATGTACAGTGATAGAAAAAGCTGTCTCTTTTTTTTTTTTTTTTTCTCGAAAGAGCTCAATACCAACGCATACTTCCAAGTGGGAGGCCCGGCGGTCAGCGGGGTAGCACGTCGACCTCAAGTGCACAGGTGCAGCAGGATTCGATTATGGCTTCGGCCATCCTGTGTGGAGTTTGCGTGTTCTCCCCGCTTTCAATCCCATCACATGCAGACTTTGACAGCTACGTGCAAATGCTAAGATCTCTCCGAGTCACGTTCTAGGTCTCATTTACCGCCGCGGCATTTGTGTCTCTTCACATCTATCTTGTTAAAGAAACGTTTGGTGCACACGCTGCAACTGAACGGTTTCTCTCCAGTGTGCTGTCTGGAGTGACTCGCTAAGCGTCCCTTTCTGGAGAATCTTTTCCCACAGACCGAGCACGGGAAAGGTTTCTCTCCGGTGTGTGTTTTGTTGTGGCTCACCAGCTGTCCTTTCAAAGAGAAGCTCTTCCCGCAAACCGAACAGGCAAACGGTTTCTCTCCCGTGTGTGTCCTTGAGTGGGTTGTCAAAATGTGCTTTCCCGAGAATCTTTTCCCGCAGACTGAGCAGGGGAAAGGCTTTTCTCCAGCGTGTGTCTTTTCGTGCACCCTTAAACTTGTCTTCAGAAAGAATATTTTGCCACAAACTGAGCAAGCCAAAGATTTCTCCCCAGTGTGCTTCCTTGTGTGGATTGTTAGACTTTCCGTTTGAGAGAAGGTTTCGCCGCAAAGTGAGCAGGCGAAAGGTTTTTCTCCGGTGTGTATCCGCGTGTGCCTCGTCAAATGTCCCTTGATGAAGAATCTTTTCGGACAAAGTAAACAGGCAAAGGGTTTCTCTCCGGTGTGCGCTCGCGTGTGCGTCGCTAAACTTTGCTTCCGGAGGAAGCTCTTGCCACAAACCGAGCAGGCGAAAGGCTTCTCCCCGGTGTGTATTTGGGCGTGCATCCTCACCTGACCCTTCTGAGTGAATCTTTGCCCGCAAACTGAGCAGGCAAAAGGTTTCGCCCCGGTGTGCGTCCTCATGTGTAACTTCAAATTCCACTTTGAACTCAACGTTTTGCCACAACGAGAACATTCCGTGCTTCGGTTGTCGGTGGGACACGTGGCGTCACTTTGTGAGCGTTCTTCATTCTCCGTGTCAGGAGAGGGCGACGTTAGGTCGTCGTCGGACAGTGGAGCTAAGAGGCCGTCTGCTTGTGCTCCTCCCCAGTCACCTTCCGTCAAGCTGCTGCTCCCTCCGCCCTCCTCACTTCCAACCGGGACCGGGTCTCCCTCCTCTTCGCTCTTCAAATGGACAAAACTCATTGGCCTCTTGGTGACTGCATCCACCTCGCCTTCTTGGAGGGAAGACCAATGTGGCCCCTCGTCCTCCGCTTTCACGTGGAGGAGCACTTCCTCTTCTTCCTCCTTAGGGTGAGGGGCTTCCCCTTCTTCCTGCTCCTCTTTGATGCGGGGAGACTCCAGCTCTGTCCGCACGGGGTCAAGATCGTCGCTGACGTCTGCAGGACACGAGACGATAAACACACATGCTTCGGCTTGCATCATGTCATCCTAGCTCAGTTTTACGAGATTATTGGCCGAATTTATGGCCAATATTAAAGACAATTGTCTGCGCCAGAATGGAAAAGAAAAAGCAAAAGAATATTTCTATTCCTTTCCCATTTCCAAAGAGTTGATGGCTTCCGCGGAGTCTCGTGTGAAACGCTTCCAAATGTCAAGGTCAAAATGTCCTTTGCCACTTGCCGTACAGCGATGCGACAAGACAGTCTCAAGCCGCGGCGTAGGAATCTCAACGTCCCCTCATGTGCCCACACTGCGATCAACGGTCACCAAAATTGATGTCAACTTCTTTACTTGATGCTCGCATCAACCTCTGAACATATTAGAATTATTCGGGATTTTCGGGCGTTTTCCTCTCCATGGAGCCCATGAGCAGTCAAGTGGGCTCAAAAACGCACACGTCAAACAAATCACTCTTGGTTTCGAGTTCTTGTTTTGAATCAAAAATAAAGGGCCGATTATACATCATTCCAATGATATTTGTTGTAATAAACGAATAAAATCAAAACAACTAGTTACAGCCCCCCCCCAATAAAAAACCAAATAACCACTTGCGATGATTACCACGAGCGCAGCCAACCTCCAGAAAGTAATTTCTCGACCAATTTGTGGAACTTTTCCGTGTTTTCACAATTTTGTCAAGAACACGACCATGGGAATGTCGTTGCGTGATATCACAGGATGGAAACATTCAACGTACTGTCACAACACAATCATTATCCTCCAAGCATAATGGGCAATATTTCAACATTTGGTATTTGCGCTTTCATCGCGCCAACCTCTGAAGGAGCAGAACGCGCTTCAAGAAAATGCACTCATCGCATTCGGGAAGAGGACTCGTCCGGCCGTCCAAGGAGGCCGACATGTTTTTGTTTTGTTTTTGACCCAATCGGTCCGTTTGGGATCCGCGCACTGCACTACGCGAATGACCCACGACGTCAAACTACATCAAGGGGTCGGACGAGATGTTATTTTACTTTCTTTTTTTTTAAACTTCTTCCCACTTCCCTTTGAACATGTCGACTGTGCTACACGATGACCATTGATGTCTTTTCTTCCTTGAAATCTTGCACCCGCTCGCACCTTTCTGTCATCCGTTTGTATGTTGTGCAAAGCCGAAAGTGCTCCAACCTTCTCCGGGGAACACGAGACGAGGCTGCTGACGAGGCTGCTGGAGCGGCCGAGCTCGCGGCTCCTTCTCCTTTTTCGTGCCGCCGATGTCCTCCTCGCACTCTTCCCTTTTCTCTCTTTTGGCACCCATCGGCACGCGGCAATCGCAACAAGGAACACTCCCACTCGATCTCCGCGATGCCTCCCTCTCTTTTGTGAGCGGCTCGTCCGGGAAGCTAAGCCGGGCCCAAGAAGCTTCCAGGCGCCCTCGCGCGATCGTGTCTGGCCGCGACGATTTCCCAAACGATGCCTTGAGGACGGCGGCGGACGTCCCGCGTTGCCGCTTCCCGCTCAGGTCCGTTCACGACTCTTTTGGAAAGACTCGTTTCGTTTCGCGTCCGCGGTGGAGCGACGCGGAAGTGCAGGTTTCGCCCAGGAAGTACGGCAAGTCCGCTTGGACAAGCGACGTCTCCTCGCGATTTAAAAGTGGCAGACCGCGGACAGCAGAGAGTTTTCAGCCGCTCTGCTCCTACCAAACTCTGGATTCACTTCCTCCCACTGATTGTCTTCCTACATTCTAATCCCGTTTTAAAAACACCTATTCCAGATTGCATGCTCCGTTTAAATGGCATCTCTTTTTTTTTTATGACGTATAGTTTTTTTCTGTGGTTTTGTATTGTATTATTATTATTATTATTATTCGAAACTTCCGTGTCGAATTGTCGTAAAACTATTTGACGTTAGAAGGCTTAAGTCAAAGGGTTCTGATGAGTCCCATGCTACTACAGTGATGTGGTGCCAAGATGAATATTGATCGTGATGTATCATAACATACTGATAACCTACAATACACCCGGTATGGAAAGTCGGTGTGTGGAAAACCTGTTGATCACTTCATTGATAATGTATGTGGATCGATGTGCCTAATTGACAAAAACAGAGAAATTGAAAGGGGACAGTGTCCAAAAGGGTTTTCCTGAAAGGTTCCCTATCGAGCGGTGTCTCCAGATACGAGTCTCAATCATTCCGTGAGCAAGGTAGTCACGCAAAACGCTCGTATCGCAAACCACCGTTCCCTTTGAAAT